TATACTCACCATATGTTACATCAACTTGATTTTGAGGTTTTGCAAATTGTAATACTTCTGGAAAATCTTCAAGTACTTGTCCTAAAAGATCTGCTCCAAGTTTTGCTAATTTAGTGTGCAACTGAGGTAATGTTTCATGCTCATTTATATTAATTTCTTTTTGTAGAATTATATCCCCTACATCAAACCTGAAATTATAGTTTATTACAATATTTTACCCTCACACTATAATTCACAAAATGTTATAAATATTCTGACAATTACTATTTGCTTTATTACTTATAATGAGATCACGAACTAATGAAATTATTCACATATAAAGTATAAAAATATGATACTTGCTTCTTTGGCTTAATCCTCATTATTGTTACACCTGTTTTATCTTCACCATTCATTAATGAATAAACTATCGGTGATGCTCCTCTCCACCTTGGCAACAAACTACCATGAACATTTAACATACCACTGCATAATGTTCATAACAAAAGGTACATTAATATGACGAATGTAAACTTATTTTTACTGCTGTGGATATAAAATTGCTTACAATGGAAAAGAATTTATAATCTTCGATGGAATTAGATGACCAAATGAAACAATTATTCCAACATGAAAGTTGTACACACCAGTATCAAGTGGCCAGTAATTTATAGTAATACCTTTTTCTTTAGCATACTTTATAACATCATTCTGTGTTGTCGTATTAACCGTAACTACTTCCAAGCGTTGCACAAGTTTAGAATGACTAGATAAAAAGATAATAGTTATTAAAAATGAAAGAATAATAAAATTTAGTATCACATGAAATATAAACTTGTCATACTATTTTTCATATAAGACCTTTAAACTTTCTACTGAAAATCCATCTGAACCAAAAAATAATATGTTCCATGGTCCTTTTTTCAGAATTTGATCGGATTCTTTATTACAAGTATAACATTTAATATTTACTTTTCTTTTAACATTTAATGTTAATATTCTTTTTAATTCCTTTAATGAACATATGAATTGTTTCGACCCAAATTTGGTTAAATTAAAAATCGACATATTGTTTGTGTTATCATTTAGCCGATTATATATTAAATTTGTTACTTTTTTATATCTATTGTGTAATTATACATGATTTTAAAATTTGTATTGTGTGGTTATGTTTTATCAGAGAGGAAATCAGAGTGTTCGCACTCGGAGTTTTGGCACGCTCGGTATAGTGGTGCCATCGTGGTTCCAACATGGAACCACAACTAACATTCACAACTACGGCACCGTGTCGTGCATTCTCTCAAATGTCACGTGACTATATCCTTGACGACGTCACGAATGTGCAATTGAGTAGAGTAGGGCAGCAGGGTTGCTCTCACGTTTGTGATTGGTCATGTCGCGACGGTCGACTATGCTGTCTTATACCCCTACTCTGCTGAACTTCTCATTCATGAAGTTACGGATGGAGTCATATAATATTTGAGAAAATTCACGGAAACAATGATCTGCAGCACTTTTGTGCTGTCAGGGTAAGAGTGGGAGAATTTCACGTCTTTCAGCAGGCCACTGCCTGGAACTGACTGGAGGGCCTGCTCAGGGGACGACTGGGTCTGCTCCTGCTTTCGTATCCCCCCTGATACCGGTCACCGATATGTACACGCTGACCGGCCCGGCGTTAACCAAGAAAATGTTTTCTAATATTCTGCGTAGCTGGTAAAAATAATAATAATTTTGTATAGGTAAAAAATTTTCAAAGATTTCAAAATCAATTCCTATTTTTTTAAGCACAACTGAATTGTTTTTAAATTAGTAAGTTATTTTTAATATTTTATATAAAATATTTCAATTTTAATTTGATTAGTCACTCCACGTAATGTACATATAATTTAATAATATTCTCTTGCTTACTTTCATACAAAGCTCTGTATAAAATGATATTCTAAACAATTGCTAAGAATTCAAGTCATTGAATTATTTTATTTATATATTACAAAATATATTGAGTCATTTATGTTATTAAATATCATCTTAAATCAGGGCTTGGAATTAGCGGTACGCAACATTCAGTTCTCGAGGGTTACACCTGCTAATTCCCGTCGCGCGTAGTTTACGGTACGCATTTAAAATTTAGACGACCGCAGAGAGCACGACGCGCGACGCGAGTCAGGAGATGTAACCCTCGCGACCTGAATGTCCGTGCCGATAATACCGAGCCATGTCTTAAATTAAATATTATTTTTAATTTCCAACAATTTACTTCTGACCTTTTTTAGTACCTTCATATCAAAGAGTGAGATTTCTCCAGTCTTTTCAAAAAATGAGATGACGCAATCTAAATCTTCTAAAGCTTTTGAAGGCGAAATTTTATCTTCCATCAAATGATCTCTCTCTGCATAAAAGTCTGTAGAACAAACCTTTTTGTAATAAATATAAATAATTAATGTATTATTCTAAATAAAATAACAAAATTGTTAATTTGTAATTAAACATTTCTTATCTAAGTTTCAGTAACGGGATCAAAAATGAATATCCTTAAACATACCACTTTTATCATTGTAGGGTTCTTCTTTAATTTCAATAACTTCTCCGTCAGTTAGGCTTGGTAGGTAATCAGCACAGATCCAGTCATTAATTTGTTTTAATGTAATATTTTCGTATTGTTGAATTTTTTTACACATTTTCTGGATGTGTTCAGAAGTGAAATTATCATAACTTTCATTTTCATCACGTGGCATGTTTAATAATTGTTTCCAACAATTAAAAATTGTTTGCTCTGTTATATCTTCCCAGGCATTACTGATTAAATCGATAGCATTTTTAATATTAAATGAATTTATTACTTCATCATATTCCATTCCATCATGTTGCATATTTATCACAAATGTTAACAATTTTGTTTTATATCTTCGTCTTACTACTTCTATAACATGATCAAGAGGTTGAATAAGTGATGCTACATTGGGTGGAAAAAATATTGCTTTAATTCCATCAACAGTTAAAATATTTGTTGATGAATATGTCCTACCATTACCCACCAATAAAATAGCTTTTTCTGGTAAACTTTTTGATCTTAAAAAATTGCAAACATGAGGTACAAACTGTTCTTTAAACCATCTTTCAAAAATGGCAACACTTATCCAAGTATTTCTTTGATTTGTATATGATACAGGCAACATTTGTGGTGTACATTTTTTCAGTACTTGTGATAATTCATACTGCCCAACAACTAGTAATGGCATTTTCAATGACCCGTTCGCATTGCAGCATGTCATAATAGTCAATCTATCCTCAACTTTTTTGTATCCTGGAGCTGTATGCTCCATTTTGAGATCTAATGATCTATTAGGCATCATTTTAAAATGAAGTCCAGTTTCATTAGCATTAAATATTTGATTTAATGTTAATTGTTCTGTTTGTATTAAATCTAAAACTTCATCCTTAAACTTATTAGCTCTTTCAGTATTTGCAGATAACTGGTCCTCAAAATTTGTAATAAAACAAATGCCATTTCTCTGTTTCCAAGTTCGTAACCATCCATCACTTGCTTTAAACGTTCCTGTGTCACCAAATTGTTTAAAAAATTCTAGGGCTTTTGCTGAAAAAATTTGTTTTACAATTAAAGCAAACTTACTTTATTGGAAAAAAATTTATTTAATAGATTTTAATATAAAACTAAAACATTTATATTATATTTTTTAATTTTGTATGAACTGCAAAGAAAATACCTTTCACTTGTATCACAGTGATTGTGTTGTTTCTTTTCTTTTCATCATGATACCAAGCAGTTAATGCTTCATTAACTTTTTCAACAGGAGATAGTCGTATACGCTTTGATTTGGAAGAAATACTGTATTTCTCCAATTTGTCCCTATTACGCACCCACCTCCTTACTGCACTATCATTTACATTATATTCCACTGCTATTTTACTTGTAGGGATTCCTGCATCCTTCTTTTTCACTGCTTCTAATTTTTGTTGCAATGTCAAATTTTTACATATTTTCTGTTTGTTGACATTCACACTACTTGTACTTGGTTTATTTAATTCCATTTTCGCGCACTTACTGGTTACTAGGATAGTTTTTATTTCAACACAATTTCTCTGGTATATTCTCCTTTAGTCTACTTTATTCATTTCATTATAAGTGTATTAAGAACTCAATATTTGAATTACTGTACTGCACTACTTAGTCAACATTAATCGCTCGATAAGTAGCTGCACTAAATATCCTAGGACCTAGGAACAGGCTTTTCTATTAAACGATACTTACGAACGACCAATGATATGCGTGCTCCCTCCACACATACATAGGTAGTTTGTTTCCTATAGTGCATACACTAAAGATGTACATAAAAAATTACTATACTTATATTGACATCTTTTTTTTTAATAATCTACATGAATAATTTTTTATTTTTAATAGTTTAATTTCGCAAGAAAGTATGTAATGAAATATAAAATTGCTTAATGCGTAGTTATTTGTTTGTTTTAAGATTATTTTAGGTGTTGCATGAATCCAGTATAAGAGCGAATACGAGAGGCAAGGAGC